TAAAAATAAATTAATTTTACAAAAATTTCGAAAATATTATGAAACAAAGTCAACATATAATTTTATTTTGATTGATAATTATCTTTTTTGACTATGTTATAGAAAATTTAATTTTTGTTATCGACATATTTATTTTCATCCAAGTTTAAAAGCATCTCTGAATTATTAAATGTCATAGATTTTGTGACTGTCACTTACAGAATAGCAAAATCGTCTCAAGTATCAAAAATTTTCTCTATCAAATTTAGGGACTTGAGACTGTATCACCGTACAGAATCGCACGGTAGGTATATGTTTAACATCGGTAGTTCTAGTGTTAATTTAGTAGAGCGAGTATTAAGACGGTTGTCTTATATTGTAAAAATTAAGTAAATTTTAAAAACAACATTTTTCCAAAAAAAACGAATGTTTAGTTTAAGTTTTATATTTAATAAACTTATACCAGTATAAATCAAAATATCATTGCTCATATTATATTTATTATTTTAATTGGTTTATAAAATTTATGAGACAATTATTATATAGTAGTCCAAACATATGAATTCTTATATTTCCCGGAAATACATTTGTAAAACAAAGGATCTTTCTCCTTTTTTTATTTTCCAGATACACGATTTAAACAGTTCAAGAGCTAAAATCTTTTTCGGAAATGATTATGTTATGATAACATATGCCCACATACAGATTTGGCAATGGCAATAGCAATAGATTTGAAAGATAGTATGCTCTAAATTTTTGCCTGTCGAGATGACCCGAAAATGTATATGTAATGTAATGTGTATTGTATAAACCCAAGATTTATAGAGAAAGAGATTACGCAATGCGCATGCTTGCTTTCGGTTAGCTGTTCTCGATGACGTCACGGTTGACTTATATTCGCCCGCGCCTTTGATTGTGAATTCGATTTGTATTTTCGGGTGTAGTATTAATTGTGAAATTTTATATTTTTTAAAATGAGTTATGCAGTGTTCGGATGCAATAATAACAATGTTAAAAATAGTGCGACGAAATGGAGATTTTTCCATTTCCCTTGGGATAAAACAGTACTAAAATAGTGGATTCATTTTTGTGCACTTCGCGCCAGAAGCCATCGAAAGAAATTTGCAGTTTGAAATGGGTAATTATAGCATTTTAATTACAATAATTTTTTTTTATAACCAAACACTCTTTCTCTTTAAGTTCGCGGAGTCTAACGAAGTTGCTACCTAGCGCTTTTCTCACGTTAACCAGACTAACTCCTGCAGACGCTAATGAAGGGCAGAAAAGGATGAAGTCTCGTTTAAACCAGGACGTTTTAAAAATTTGTTTGGCGAAATCAGGCTAAAAGGCGGTCTTCACGATTACCCTGACAGGAAGAAGTTCCATCAAGACAGATGGAGGAAATGTTGAAGTCGACAACACCCCAGATATGGAAGGGAATTACTTATCTCTAACCGGTAATTATCAAAATATTAAACGTACATAGTATTCCTAAAACTACAGAAAACATTCTTATATGAATATGTTTTCATGTTAACAAATGCAAATATGTACTTACATACAAACTAATTGTTTGAATACCAACCACTGTTTCTTATTATAATTGTAATAATAATCTTAACTAACAATTTATTCCATTTATTTATAGGCATGTATGTATGTTTATTATATTTTTGCAAGTAATATTTTTCAACGTGTGTCAGTTGATCTAAATTCCGCTGACCCAATTGAAAAAAATTATGACTTGAAGATTCTCAACAACGACGGGCCTGTAAATTTGGCATGGTACATCTGCCACAAACTTGGTAAAGACAACCCCGAAATTTGTGCCAATTCAGAAAATTGTTCGTCTTATACTTGAGTGGATCACCTATCTAAAGGAGGACTTTCAAAACCAACAGATATGTTGATGGAGCATATGAGAGCCTTGCAAGCAGCATTTGACGACTTAAATGGTACTGATTTGCATACACATATGTACAAATGACGTCCAGAAGCACTTAGATTTAAGTAATTTTGTTAATTGTAGCATCAAAGTAAATTATTGGTTTTCAGAGCTAGAATGTATTTTAGGATTTGTTCTTTAAATAAAAACTTGATTGAGAATATGTACAGCAAAAAAAAAAAAATTAAATAAGACAATAAATTGATAGTTGATCACAAAATATTCAATATTTTTATTTGCATAAATGTATGTATATAATTGAAACAAACACAGCAAAGAGACAAAATTAAATAGTGCAACGATAATACAATGAATTGAATATGTAGGTAAATGTTCACTATAAAATAATCGAATATAGATATTTTTTATGTTAATATTAACTTTTATTGRTGTTAGCTTTTAATGATATTCATGTTTTTGTATGCCTGCAATACAAAGTTCATTCTTATTGCAAAGAAAAACAAACAACCGAAAATCAGCTGATTGTACGTTGGTTAACCGGGACGTAGATGCGCAGAACGATTAAAATTTGAACTCGTCATTGCGCAATCTTGTTCCCATCATTCTTGGTATATACGTACAAGTAACAAATCCCATCATTTTCACCCATACATACACAGCCGAAAGCTTGTAGAATGACAGAAGTTACATTAAGAATGCAAAAGAATGAGGGAAGACTCAGGGCCAAAGTTCGTTAGAGTTTCTTAAATATTCTACTACTAAAACGGCCAAATGCCTTAAAAAAGGCACGAGTGTGTTGCCGTGTTATGCTATCCAATTTATTATTTTAAGACCGTTTTTTGTTAAATTTTCAAATATATTTCGATTATTAAAATTCATAAAGATTAAATTTACCTAGTTTGGATGAAAATTGTATTTACTGTATCAAAATATTGGTAAATCTTTTCTATTTTATTAAAAATATTTGAAGAAACTATCTATTTTTGTTTATATTATTACAAATAGTTTTGTTTAGTATTGTATATTTTATATGTGTGAAAATATGCCTCTTGGGGAACCTAACACCCAAAAAATATTGCTAACGCGCCTATACTGTAACCTATTTACTATTTTTAAGTCCTTTTATTCAAATATCTGTGCCGAAAAGTCAACTATTTCGATCAGGTGATCTCAGCTTTTGACGACCATATAATTCTTTTCTTAGTCGGCTATTACACGAAGCAACTTTTGTTGCGGCAKCTCTTAGTTTATAGGCGAGGGACGATGAGGAGAGGAGAATTGTGCCGAGTTTCCAGTGTTCAGCAACTCGCTTTGTGTTCTTATTCGTAACAGCTCGTTTTTCTGCATTCGTGTTCTTTCTTTCGTAGTACATAGTTGCATTTGCGTATATTATTTTGAAATTAATATTTTGAATATATTTAAAAAATGTAATTTCATCTTTTGGTACGTAATTTGCAAATATGTATACAAATATACATAATATAATATAAATATTTTAGAAAATGGAGTATGACGAAAAAATCGAATTAAGTAAAGATATTGTGAAATGTATGGAGGAAGCCATACAAATTGATTCAAACAAGATTTCATACATATTATTTGGACTACAATAAAATAATTGTGGCATAAATTTTTTATACCAATTAATATAATAAATTTAATAGGAGGAATTATATATTGATTTATGCTTGTATAAGTTTATTAAATTTAAGACTTCGCTCATTCCCAACACAATTTGCATAATTTTTCTGTAAATTAAAAGTATTGAACTCAATATAAATTTTTTGGCAAACTATTATTTTGAAAATGTATTTTACTTTTATAACATAACATAACCGTCTTAACACTCGCTCTTCTAAAGTTCATATTACCGAAATGAAAATGCCGTCGGCATATGTGCAAATGGGATATATTGCCTCTTCGAAATTTTCATAGAAATGAAAACTTTGCCGTCAAACTGCTGAAGTGACAGCTTATTGCTTACAATATATGGAAAAATATATTGTAAGCAGTAAGCAATATGGAGTATCCACAGGCAATAGGTACGGCAATACAGTTAGTAAGACATATATTTTATCCTGTCGAGATGCCCCGTAATAGAAAAGTTTCTGTGTTTTTATATCAATATATATGCAAAGAAATTTTTTTTAAGAAGTCTTTAGTAATTCTAACTACATATTAAAATATTTTCAGTAAAAAAAGAAATGTCGAGTATAAATAGTAGGTGAGTGACGCATGAGATTTGTAATATTTATTAATACTGAAGGTGCTGTATATATGATCATATTAAGATCCGATGGCAGTAGTAAATTATGTTGCTACGCTCATCCTGAAGCACCATTAATTGAGGACTACAGAGCTGGAGACATGATTTGCTCAGAATGTGGACTTGTAGTAGGTGATCGTGTTATTGATGTAGGTTCGGAGTGGCGTACGTTTAGTAATGAAAAAAGTGGTGTTGATCCAAGCCGTGTCGGAGGAGCTGAAAATCCATTGCTTGGTGGGGGAGATCTCTCAACAATAATTGGACCGGGAACAGGGTCTGCATCCTATGACGCATTTGGTGCACCAAAATATCAAAATAGACGCACAATGAGTAGCTCTGATAGATCATTGATTTCAGCCTTCAAGGAAATATCTACAATGGCAGATCGGATAAATCTTCCAAAAACAATAGTTGATCGCGCTAATAATCTCTTCAAGCAGGTAGGTGAAGTGTCAATTTTCTTTGTAGTAGATGTGAATTGGTTTTGGAGATATTAACAAAGGGCAATATTGCGAAAGAACGCCAATGCGGAATTCGAATAACTAATGTGTTATATGTACATATATATCCTGTCATTTGGGGTATTTGTTTTCTTTATTTCTATTGGGTATTCTGTAAAATGCATAGCTTGCAAATAACTTCCAAAAGGAAGTGTGTTGCCTTACTTACAATGTGGCAATATTTTTAATGAATTTTTACATTTTTGTTTTTGAGCGTCGTTATGTTAATAAAATAGAACTAGAACTATCTGTAAAATATTGCTGAATAAATAAGCTTTTAAAACCATTTCTTGTTTTTTGAAAACAGTTTACATTTCTTTAAAAAAATATCACTTCAACCAATTGCATACTTTTGCCCGACTTTGGATGTGAGCCACTGTATATTTTTTGTAAAATTTTTTAGATAGTATGTGTTAAGCTTTATAACTAGTAAGGCGATTCGATTTTCTGCACTAATCGAACTTCTTCGTTCACTTAATACAAAGTGTAGGACTGAGAATGCCCATTCGACGGACACATGCGTTGCAGGTGTAGCCAGCACAACCTGTGCTAGTGCACTTCTATGCGGAATCTTAAGCTGCAAATCATTAAAAAATTCCAATATTTGAATTTAATGGCAAGAGACCAAATGTTACGTCGAAGTTTTCGATGTCAGCATAAATTTTGAAACAGGATCTTTTTGCTTTCTAACACTGTCTGCAAATCGCCCAAAAATGCCGAGAACGCAACTTCTCTTCAGATGAGGATGCATGTCGAGAATTGACGAGACAGGGGAAGCAAACATCTCTTCACGCATATGAGTTTCGAGCGCTGGAACATTTCGTGTTGGCCTTAAGTAATAAAGCGATAATAAGCATGAAAAGTTTCTTGGATTTAGTTTAGTACAAGTATTAGTTTTTTCGCTCGTTTGATACGATATTCCTCATTTTTCTTCACATTGAGTCAATTTTTTAATATCCAGAATTGTTCCACTCATTGAAAATGTCCAAAGGTTTCGTTGTTAAATGCGGTCTTAAGTTTGTTGAATGATTGACGGGCAATTTAATTCCGCAAAAATTACAAATTGACTTGTTCTCTTCCAAATTAATTTTAAAGAATTGGTGCACATTTTTATTCATCTCTCTACCAATTTTACACAACAAATATTTCACAACTTCACACAATCAATTCACGATCGCAATTAATATATTTCGTCCCCAAAACATACGCAAAGGACTTTTTGCTTCACTAAACACGACAAAACGGTCTTGGAACAACCAGAACCAAGCAGTATAGAAAAAAACGGTTTCGCTCTTAGCGCGAGCGAGCTCATTCAAGAACCCATAAAACGGTTGCTCTCGGAGTCGGAGGTGGCACTGATTATTAGTTAGAATGCAATCCTTTTGTTATTGTACGACCAAAAATAAATGAATGAAAGTTAAATGTTGAATAAAAGTTATTTTTGCACTATTTAATATAAAATAAATGGTTAGAAATGATTTAGTGAGGTGTTAGTGGATATAAAAGTTAAAAATATAACCATAAAATTCATTATAAATGGGAAAAACACGCATTTTAAATATTTGAATTTTTGATCTTTAAATACAAATATCTCAAAAACCATAAGTCAGCGGCAATTGTATGTATATATATTCTTGATCTGGGTATGTACGGATAGAGGACATACCCATTTTAACTCCTAAATCCGGCGGAGCTATTCTAAAATGTACCCTTACGAATGATTTGGCGCCGCGATTTGACGGTACGGATTCGGATACAGAAATTAGTCAAGGTTAAAAAATGTATACATATATTCACTACTAAGACTGGATAAATAACATTTTGTTCAATAATGGGCAATGTTACGATTCTTTTGGCGCCGCGATTTGATGGTACTGATGTATGGAGGAGGTCCTCAGGATTAAAAAATGTACACACATATACCTTCCTTTACCTTTACAAAAACGGTACCAATCAAGTAAAAATTGCTCAAATAGTAAAATGTTCAAGTAAAATGGTGTACAATGCCATCAAAAATGTTAAGAGTGATCCAAATTTGTTAAAACAAAACAAAGCAAAACAACCCCCCGCTATTGTCGATAAAAAAAATATTAAAGCGCGTTTGTCATTCGTTCATAGCCATAGGATCAAAAGATTTAAATTTTTGGAAAAGGATACTTTTTACGGACGAAACTAAAATAAACCGGATTGGTCCTAATGGTCAAACATATGTACATCGCGAAAAAAATCAAGAAGTCAATCCAAGGTACACCAAAAATCGTAAAACCCCTAGTAAAGATAGAAGGGAATTTTTATTACAGAAAACTAAGAAATTTTGGGGTACTTTAGTTTTTAGTGAGGTAATAAATAGTCTTTCTACATTATAACGATTCTACTTCTTCTAAATTTATTATATTTAATATTTATTTATTTATTTATTTACAAGAATATTGAAACTATAACTAAATTACAGAACAATATATAAAGTAGAAGCTATGGCTTGATGTTGTTGTTGTTGTTTTAACGGTTATCAGTCCCCGTTGGGATGGTGAGGGTTATCAGTGTTGTCGATGTCAATTAACGGGAGGCCCAGGAAACGTGCTGTTTCGACGGGGTCGGACTAAAGGGAAAAGGGTGTTAGATTTGTGGGGTTGGTTGGCCATGCAAAGAGGTGGTCAGTGTCATGCGGAGACTCGTTGCATGCAGGACATACGTTGGGTATGTCAGGGTCTATTCTGGATAAGTTGGAGTTTGACCTGCTACAATATCCAGAACGAAGTTGCGCAAGGGTCACTCGCGTTTCTCGCGGCAACTCGAGCTCTTCGTCTGCTATGGGTGGTGATTTGACTTCAAGTACGCCATTCACGGGGAGGTAGTCGGTGAAGCAGAAACTGCTTGGAGAGGAGTTCATTATGCTCCTTAACTGGGAGCATAAGCGTCTAACTATATAGGTGTTCGATGGGAGACATCAAGATACATCCCGTTGTTGTTGTTGTTGTAACGGCAGAATTCTGCCTAGTTGACAGTCCTTGGCCGGATAAAAATCCGGGTCCGTTCCGGTTTTCGTAGACCCGACTGTCGTGGGAACGGAAGAGGCTTCCCGTCGTGGTCCGGAGTACTGTATTCTGGCAGGTCTGTAGTTTCCTCATCTGCGTGCCACTGCATCCAGGCGACCATGAATGAATGAATGAATGATGAGGAATGCACTGCGACCTTTGGTCTATTGTGCCCTCATTAATGAAGTCCAGTAGACTGCTTGGGGTTAGCGAGACAATGCGATCCCTATCCGGAAACAACACTCCAAGGGCCTTGGCTCTGCGTCTACAGACTGCTGTGCAGTCGATCAACAGATGCTCCGGAGTTTCACGCTTCCTGTCGCAGAAACGGCAGTTGGCGCAAGCTGATAGGCCCATGCTGTGCAGATGCTTATTCAGCTTACAGTGGCCAGTATATCATGCGACTAACAGCCTGAGTTTGCTCCTGGGRAGGTTTATTACGATTTTGAACCTTTTCAGGTTGTAACCTCCCATTAGCAGCTTGGCGTGTCTCATACCATGAGTTTGTCGCCAGTGCTCTTCCCTGCCTGCTCTTTCTTTTTTACGGAGCAGCTCCTTCATGGTGTCGGGACAAACTCCCGTAAAGGGTTCGTGTCCTACCATCCTGGTGCAGGCTGCGGAGCGGGCAAGCTCGTCCGCCAGTTCGTTGCCGGCTATGCTTCTGTGACCAGGCACCCAGATCAGGTGTACCTGGTTTCTTTCCGCAATGCTGTTCAGCCCATCCCTACACTCCTGTACTAGTAGCGATTTGATCTCGTAAGAGGAGATCGCCTTTAGCGCCGCTTGACTATCGCTTAGAATGGCTTTTCGCTTATTGCGATAGTTGCGATGGAGGTTTATTTCTATACACCGGCTTATGGCAAAAACTTCTGCCTGGAAAATGCTCGAGAACTCACCCATGGGTATGGAGAGCCTAGTGCGTGGGCCCATAATCCCTGCGCCGATTCCCTCCGACATTTTCGAGCCATCGGTGTACAACCTCATCGTACTGTTCCTCAACAACAGCTCGAGGTTGGAGTCGTTCCAATCGCCTTTGCTACCGAGGGTAATCTTAAACTTTTTCCTTAGGTTAACCTTTTTGATAGCACTGTCCCTCGGGAGGAGGGCCAATGGTATATTGCCACTTATCTTTTCCATCCTATGGGAAGAGATTATCTTGCCTTTTCCACACTCCTCTGCCGTTATTTGCAGAAGGGTGTGCTTGGCTACCTGACCGATGACCAAATGAAGCGGAGTAAGTTCAGGAAGAACCTCCAGTGCTGCCGTTGGACAGGTGCGCATTGCGCCCTTCATGCAGACACAGGCCAGCCGCTGTAGCTTTAGTAGCTTAGTCTAAACCGATGTTTGCAACGCTACTGACGCCCATGCTACCGCCTCATATGTGATTATCGGTCTCACTATGATGGTGTACAACCACCTAACTATTCTTGCCTTACAACCACAGAACCTTTCTGCCAGCCGACTGCACACCATTAGGACTTTTTTCGCCCTGCTTCCACCTCAAAGTGGATTCTAGCATCAAGCCGAGGTATTTGACACTATTGGTCATCCCTATCTCACTGCCCCACAGACAGAGATTTCTAAGACCGGGTAGGGTCCTGCGTCTCGTAAACGCGATTACTGACGTCTTGGAGGGGTTGATATTCAATTGAACCTCCCTACATCACCCCTTCGCTAGGTTGAGACCTCTTTGGATCAAGTCACAGAGGGTGTCTTCATATTTGCCTTTTGCCATAATTACAATGTCCTCCGCATACCCTTGACATCGGATCCCATTGTCTGTTAGCAGTGTTAGCAGGTCGTCTACGACTAGACTCCATAGCAGGGGTGATAACACACGCCTCTGTTGGCAGCCTCTTGTTGTGCCGAGACGAATACTGCTATCACCTACTGTGGTCTCAGCAA